GAACAGCAAAAGGGATAAATCCCCAAGATCCAAGGATTTACCTCTTGAAGTCTCTTCTTGTCCAAGCTTTTTTCTACCTCAAGGAATCCACACCAACTTTCCTCTTTGTACAAAAATTGGTAATACCACAATCATCAATACAACCTATTCAAGGTATAAATCCAATCAATTGAACACATATAACAAGATAATCATCATGCCAAAATCAGATAATCATCATGCCAAAATCTATAATCTCACCAAGAAATCACACTTAATGACTTACCTTATTCTTGAAATACTCAAGATTTAAGTTCTTGATCCACATGTAGATCAAATGGATCCTCCACCAAGTTATTATTTTGTTCAACACTACACAGTCAATAACATAGAAATCAACTATCAAAATTCATTTGCAATCCATAAACCACAACTTTCACTATTCCTCGAAAATCTAAGTTATTCAAATCTTCACAAAACTTAAAGGAAGTCGAGTTATCTTACCATAAAGTTCATTATAATGGTTGTAGGAGTAATTTCCAAGCTTTAAAGAGATCAAACACTCCTCCTACCTCCAAGACAAGAAATGGAGCCTCACTTGTAGTCGAATTTTCTCTCCACACGAAGCACCTCAAAGGAAACCAATATGTAGGTTTTGCTAATTGCAAGAAACTAAGCAATTTTCATTACACAACCTAAGTGTTTCATGGACAAGAACTAAAATGAGTTTTCCAAGATTCTCCAATGTGACTTAGACTATCTAACATGATTTTAAACTCATAAGAATTATGAATTAACCTTCTTACTAGATCCTTTTTAAGTTTTGGGCAACTTTTGCATAGTCGCATTTTTATCCCAAAATTTTCACTATTTGCGCTTTTACCCCGAAAAGTGACTTAATTCATATAATTAAATTATTCATCTAATCTATCTCTTTTAATCCCTAGTTAATTTCCAATTACTTAATTTAATTGTTTAGGTTATTATACTAGGGATTTTCTAATCCCTAGTTGCACCCCCTTCTTGGCCCAAGTCGATCACTATCCACTTGGCCCCTTAGCACAAGTGACTATCACTTGGTCCACTTACTATTTAGGCATAAGTTGAGCCCAAGGTTAGATGGGAATGAGGGTTCCTTAACCCTTGACCCACTTCTTTGGTCCTAGCGAATCACTATTCATTAGCCCATGACCCAAGTAACTTTCACGTAGGCCCAATGGCTTTCTTTCACACTTAGCTTTCCACCACTTTGATCAAATCCAAGTCATATGTGATGACACAAGTGCAAGCCTAGACCACTTACTCAAATGTGTGACCCATAAGGTCAATGAGTCTGACCCATCATGCTATGGGCCTACCTATGGTCCCGACCAATTGGGCCCAAAGCCCAAAATGGAAAGCTCTCTTTCCCAAAATGTAAGCTAAGTATTGCCAATGAGGTGATATTGATGTGTGACTCATTAGGCCCAATTAGTCACTGTCATAAATGGAATTGGAACCTTCATGAACTCTTTTATGAAGCCTAATCCATCCAATGACCACACAAAGCACCACCAATGCTTTATGGCCCTATAACTAATTGAGTTTCATTTTGAGATCTGCCTTTACGAATTTAGTTACTGTGGGATCCATTGTTTTATCTCATTCATCCACCTTTTAGGTCAAGAAGAGCAATGAAGTAGTATAAACTCTTTATTGACCAAGAGTAGCTTTGTTGGGACAGAGAGTCTTTTTCCATAAACTTTAAGAAAGATCCATGAACTCCTTCGTGATCTCTTATTGTGCACAAATTCCCGAGTATCATGGAAATCATCCAAGCCCCACTGGTCTTGTGGATAACTAATTCTGGCATGTTCATCTACACCTGTTCCTTCCAAATATACTTGTAAGTATATTATTCTCCTTATCTTTCAAGAGGACAGAGTTGTACCCCGATGTATGATCTCCAGACACAATATACAATAACAACTTTAAGTTTGAGAATGATCCGCACAACTAAATGAAGAGAGACATTATTGATCTAATTATACTGCTATAACTTTTGGTGGGTCAGTTCGATGTGTTTCGTTCCACTATGAATCCACCTATGACAGAGGTTAAAGCATCTTCATGCCTGCACTCATAAGATCCATACCTTACATCTCCATGTAAGTAACCTACTATCGTACTAGTCTAATCGAGATGACCAATACCCTTCATTGGTGACTCTAAACTAGGAACAATTTTAGGGCATAGTCATGTAGTAAGCTTGGGTTTTCATCATCATGATCTCATCATAGATCCACAAGGAACACCTGTACTATCCTAAGGGACTTTATACACTACACATATTTTAAAAGAGAAAGATAAAGCATGCTAATAATAATAATAATAATAATAATAATAATAATAATATCAACAACAACAATAATAATAAATGCTCAGTGGTACAATCAGTGTCATTTAACCTTCAAATTATCTCTAGGACACCTACTAATACTAACAAAAATCTTGCACGTGTCAGTTAACTAGCAACTACATCCAGAATGGTATTGGGCTTGTGTCGATCGCCACAGGAGCCATGTGCTATTCGTCTAATCTTGAGCACCCTCTGGGGGTCGTCGTTTCCATGGTGGCTGAGACACATGCTTGCCATTATCTCTCCCATAGAGAGTCAATTTTTGGCTTATATTTGATGATTTGGTGCCTAATATTGTATATAATCCCTTTATAATTTTCTTACAATTGCATTAATCTTGTCTTTTTGTGTTTTGAATGAGAAATATGCTAAGTGTTTACATTTGAAGTTGTTTCAAGTGCTAGAGTTATTCACTTTCTTTGTAATTTATGTTGTCGGTTAAAGCCACAACAATGCTATAACAATGGTGTTTAGTGAAATGATGCATTTTGAAGTTGTAACATAATGGATAAGAGGATAAGCATTCAAATTCAAATTCAAACTCAAAGATAAGGCACTACACCTGACAAGGGATAACAAGGCTACAAAAGTTAAAAGATAAATATATATCCTATCAAATCCTAAAATCTAGCGATAAAGAGGATAAATCTGAGCTTCATGATAAATCTAAGTTATATTAGCAGACTATTTCTAAAGGAATTTGAATTCAAAAGTTACTTGGTGCCCAAATCAGCATTCTTTTATAAATATGATTTAAATTGTTTTCTTCTAAGTCATATGGATTTTTCTTCTTTCTTCTGTGTTTCTATTATTTTAAGTATGAGCTAAACTATTTAGGATTGGGTGATAGAGTATTCATATTGCCTAAACTTTCCTATGTTATTTTTTCATTCATTGTTTTATAAAGTATTTTATTCTTAATCTTGTTGACTTACTAGGAAAGAACTGCAAGTGTTTTAAGATTTGGGTTATAGGAATATATTCAGATCCTTATTAAACAATATGGATTAACTAAGTTAATTTAATTTGGTTAAGTTGTGGATCCAGAAATAGTCCACACCACATAGCCATAGGGAACTTGAACTTAAAGAAGTCAATGGTAAATTTTGCACAGGGATATGAGAATTAGTTATCGGGTATATATGCAAGGTTAGCGGGAGCCCCTACATACAAATAATTGTTCTAGTTACTGATGGAAGATAGTTGTAGCATTGTTCAAGCATTCTGATAACATTGCAATATTGGAAAAATTGACCATAATCTATCTTTTTATACTTGAACTAATTCTATTAATGCGTTTTTATACTTAGTTTGTAGCTTAATCTTAGTTTATTCAGTAGATAATAGTTTAATTAACTTAGATTGAAGTTTAGTCCTTAAATACTTTCATTATCACTCTTATTGCTTCACTTAGGCTGTAACTTTATAATTTTCTCCGTGGGAACGATGTCTAGACTCATATATCAAATTACTTGTTGACAACATGCACTTGCGTTAATGTGTGATTATCATAAGAGGTTTGAATTGCACAACACTTGCACTGCATGCACCGCCTCAACACCTCTCATTCCTTTAGGCCAAGAAGAATTTGACAACAAGGAGAACCAGTCTCACCATCGGAAACCATGTGCCGAGGACCAAGCAAATGACAACGACTAGTCATCCATAACCCTAAATTAATATAATATTAAATTACCCCTACAATAAAATTTTACTAACAAATTCATTTGTAGAATTTAATAAAATAAATATTTTAATCTAAATGATTGTTTTTAATTAACTAACACTCACACTAAAAACTAAAATTAAATATTGATAAATTAATTATTCTTAATACAAAATCACTAAACATATATTAAGTCACTAACCAGGTTTTATGTCCCTAGGTATGTCCAAATTCACTAAGCATATTCTAAGTCAATAAGGATGTCCTAAGTCACTAACCATGTTCTAAGTCTCTAAGAATGTCTTAAGATTAATCATAACCTAAGTCACTAAAATATCCTAAAATATTACATATCTATTGCTGTAATTTAAAAACATAAAAAACAAGTTTAAGACTTAAGTGATACAACTCCAAGAGATTAAAACTCACAAAAAGCCTAGAGAGAAATCAAAGAGAATTTTAGGGAGAAGTCATAGAAAATTCTAAAGAGAAGTTAGAGATATGTTGTAATCAGGGAAAATAATGGAAAAATGTCTTTATATGGCACAAGTAGTGCATGAAGCAATGTGCAAACGCCTTTTTGGACGCGTAATTGGTACCCGATCGCACTCTTTTGTTGCATCCAAAATGATATGCAATTGTTATAAAAAAAATAAAAAATGATATGCAATTTATTGCGTTACTTTGGTAGATAGTGGAATAATTGCATTAATTTCATATTTTCTTATAAAAACAATAAATTTTTTTTTAATTATTTTGCCAACTATATATATTATTCATAAGGCTTATTGGCATTTCCTTTTCTGTAAAAAATAAAATTTCTCACTCGTTCCCGTTCGAAAACCATCGTTCCCGCTCTTGTTTCGTTGTGGGCTTAGCCCCCTTCCTGTGACTACCAAAAAAAAAAAAAACTCCAACGCGGCAAATGGTTAATGCACTGCAATGGAAGACGCAAAGATGGTAAAGCTAGCAGACCTGGTTCACTACCCTCGACCTTTCACCGCTGCTTCGTCTTTCTCCTTCATTTCCAACCCACCGCCGCCGCAGCGCCCCACTGACGGCCGCGTTCTCGCCGCCCTAAACAGCCCAACCATCCTCGTCGGAACCCTAACCCTCCCCAGCCACACCGCTCTCTCCTCCTCTTCTCCTCCTTGCTCCTGTTTCCGATTCTCCGACGGCTCCGCCACCGTCTGCTGCGACGTTCTCCACTTCCACGCTGGCGCCATAGGGAAAGCAATTCGCGTCACGGCTTTTAATTTCATCCCATTGAAGCACCACGGCGGCCGCAGCGGTTTCTTAGAGATTATAAAATGGTGTTTTTATGATTCTAATGAGGGATTGAACCAAGTGGATTCGCTTCCACTGGTACTGAATCACCCCGGCAGCAGTTGCTGTCGCGGCGGTGGCAGTGACGGTTCCAGAGGCATCCACGGAGTGGTGGAGTCCGTTGGCCCTGTTTCTGTGGTCCCGTGCGCCATGGCTGCAAGTAGCTCGGATTTGAATTCGGGTTCTAAGGTGAACTTGCCAGGGTTTTTGGTACAATTGATGTGTTGTGAGTGTATGTTATGTGATTCTAAGGAGTTAGTAAACAATTTGATGAGTGGTTCTTCTATGGAGAATGGGATTGACCATTCTTTTACCAAAATGGAGATTGTGTATTTTTGTGGCAATGCATCATCGTGGCACCCTGCTATTACTAAACTAATTGGTAATCGCATTGTAGTTTCGGGCTTGAAGAAGAAGTTGGTTTATATAACAAAGGAGGAGTCTTGTGTGATGTATGTTACTGTGGATACGTCAGTGCTTCGTGTTTGTCCATGTTCAGAGAAATGGTTGCCACGCTTGAAGTGTGCGATAAAGGGGAAGGGAGAATGTGGTGTATATACTGGCATAATTAAAGGTGTTTACATGCAAGGGATGGCTTTGGAGTTGGACCATGATGTGTGGCTTCTTTTAACTGATGAACTACATACTCTGATACATGGTCTGAGGGTTGGCTCCATTGTAAGTGAAGGAAATTTGCTATTCTCTTGATCTTAGATTTTTTCGGATTTTAAACGGAACCAATGTAAATAGAAGAATGTCAAAGGACAACTTTCTTTTGTAATTATGTTATGTACTTTGCAACCCTTTAAAACTTTTAAGTTTTACCTGGCCATTGTGTAGATATCTGTGAGAAATGTCCATTTCATGGATCCAAAGTTTTCATGGACAAAAATTATTATTCTTGGGGCCTGCGTCAAGACTAGCATTATCGTGGAATCCTTCTCACCGCTGGAAACTGTGTATGTATTGCTACCATAATCATTATTGCTTCTGTTCAGATTCACGTCACATGAATGCTCAGAGTATGACAGTCCTGTGTCCTCATGTGTGGCCAATGAGAAGTCATTTATTTTGTTCTATGTTTATTTATCGTTAATCCCTATTTAAATGGAGTGATTGGACCACAGCAAACAATTGCATCTGACTGAAGTAATACATGGTCAAATTCTGATTTGTTGTATGCTTTGCATATTTAATATTAATACTAATTGTTTCTTGAACGTTTCTGACTTATTTAACATGTGTAGTTGCCGATACATGTCCTTTGCGGGTAGAGTGATAATTCAGTTCAGCATTGCAGGTGTAACCTAGTTTTGCAATCTAGGAGTATGCTAGGAAAGTTCATTCAGTCTTTACCGTTTTCTGCAAGACTCTGGTATTAAATAGTTTGCTTTCCTTATATAACAATTATTTTGGAGATTATAGTTTTAAAGATTGCTGGAATATATTATTCCTTTTTATTAATTTTCCTTGGCAGGGTATTACTTCTTGTCTCAAGCTTACGTAAAAAGTTTGCTGGTATCCTATCTGACAAGGAGATTTTGGGATCAAAACATGTAATCTACTTCCTTTAGTTAAGTTCTTAGTTTGGCTGAAGCTTTTTTTTCTGTTCCAATTCTGATGAGCTATTGTTGTAAGGTTTTACCAGAAAGAAGGGCTAGCTCAGACTTATTCTAGTTCACTCTTACCTCCATCAGTGTTTCAAACTCAGGTACGTTAATAAATTGACAGTTGAGGAAACTTCATTGCAACCAATTTTGCTGCATTAGTTTGGTCGTAATGCTTTCCATTGGCAGCATGGTGCTTTCATGGGGCTGTGTAGACGACATGACTTGAATGGCTGCAGTAGAGAATTGCATTGCGGTTTTCTAAAAATGGTATTTTTCTTGTAGCTATATTAAATTTGCTTCTGGTAGTCTATGAAGTTTGAAATTTTGGATCCGATGTGCTCAGCAGAATATACAGTCATTATTTCTCCCAAAAAGAAAAAGAAAAGAATATCGTTGTTTTGTTTATCTGGTGGAAGGTATTTGTTACTATTCACTGAAGGATAATTACTATATCTATTTTGTTATTACAGGTAATACCAATATCTATCTTCACCGATCACTGTATTGACACCTTAATAAGAATGATGAAGTCGGAAAATCATTGTAAACTATTACCTGTTGGCAGTCATTTCAGTATTTTATCACGTGAAGCCAGATATAATGGTAGGTCAGTTAGGAGGTTCATTCCAAGTGAGGAAGTGGGTGTCGTTTTGCTTGGACATCTAAAGGTTATTGGTTCAATTTATTTATTTATTTATTTATTTTGAATAGTTGCTAGTAAGCTGCATTTTGCAATGGCTGTATTAGTACTATCTTATTCATATTTATATGACATATAATAATTTTCTTCGATCTTTTAAATATGGAGACAACACTTTTTGCCCCCATAAATGATAAATTTTTGATATTATTGGCATATCTACTGATATTTGAGTTCTAATGGTTTTGCTTTGAATATTCAGATTGATCCATTGAATAGAAGACTGCAGCTGGTTGATGCTACTGGGGGCATTGATGTTCTTATACCAGATCTTCCCTTTACTTGGAATCCCAACAAAATATATGAGGTCACCATCGCTCTTCACATTCTACCCTTCTCAATTTTTATCTTATGAACTTTTAAAAATAATCATGTTTGAAATTGTGTTAGCAGTTGCATTGCAGCTGTTACAGGCTAATGTGGCCGATGTTGTCCGCAATCACGGCCTGATGGGGTTGTGGCGACCACCACAACCAAGATATTGTGGCCGCATCACGCAACGTGGTCCACAATTTAAAACCTTGATTAAGTGGTGACTCCTTAAAATTTCGTAGAAAATTGAAGATGTGATACGTTAGACTAAGTGGTGCTTGATCTAAAATTATAGAGTGCATGAGATATACTAGTAAATTAATCTTATACTAGAAAAGTTAAGATGTGATGCCTTAGACTAAGTGGTGCCTGAGATATACAAGTAGATTACTCTAATAGAATTGCAATATTGTAATGTTCATGATAATTGACATAATTGTATTTCATAGTTTTATAAACGATGACTGCCTTAGACAGTGAGAAAGTGTAGCTCTAAATATCTACGGCATAGAACATGGATATGGGTAATAATAAGAATCTACTTAAATTCATCGAAAAAAGAATTAATGAAAATGAAGGGGGAAGGCAGGTTAATGGAGTTATGAGTAAGCATTTGCTCAGAAAGGAAACCAAACTCTTGAGGGATTTAGAGGGGGTAGTTTAGACACTAGAATATCATAATCCTCCAATAGCGCTTATCTATTGACAACTAATTTGATAGTGAAACGTGCTGTTGCATGTGCTAGAAAGGAGTACTTGGAGGGAAGGGGAAGGAGCTTGGCATACTTAATAAGAAAACTGATTCTAGTATAGAGTGAAAGAGAACTTGGCACTGACGAATTGAGCTGTATGTTAAGCTCAGTTACTGCCTTATCTGTCAAGCACAAACTGCAGTAAAACATCCAACGGAAGGAACAAGCCAGTTTGCAGAGTATATTACAGAAGGAATAGAAATAAGGTACAATTATCAAGGAATAATTAAAATAACTGCAACGATAAGTGAGATGGGTAGTTATTCAATATATTGTTATTTTATATAAGGTAGTTATTATTATATATGTGGGTTATGTACGGTTAAGTAGGGTTTTAGTTTAAGGGATCTTCATTCCCTTGTAAGAGGATATTAGAAGAAAAGAAAATTCTGTATATTCATTCAATGTGTCAATTACAAGGAGCTCACTGTGCTATATATCACAGCTGTTAACAAAACAACTAACCAAAAGAATAAAGGTAAAAATCAGAAACGTATCCCACGTCTCCGTAAAGAGTGGGTTGTTACAACAGAAAAAGAAACTAAAAGGAAAAATACTTTTCTACCCATAGTTACTAATCACAATCTTAATACTCCCCCTCAAGATGGAGAGTGTATGTTTAACACTCCCATCTTGTTGAGTAATGCCATAAACTGCCCAAGAAACAGTGGCTTGGTAAGCAAATCTGCCAGTTGCACTTGTGAGGAAACATGGAAGGCTTTCACTTCTCCTTTCAACACCTTCTCTCTAATCAAATGACAATCTATTTCTATGTGCTTTGTTCTCTCGTGAAAAAATGAATTTTCTGCAATATGTATTGCTGCCTGATTGTCACAAAATATCAAGGCTGGTTCTTGATGCAGTATCCCAAAATTTGATAAGAGAGATCGTAACCAAATCAATTCACATGTCACATTAGCCATTGCTCTATATTCCGCTTCTGCTGATGATCTGGAAACCGTTGGTTGTTTCTTGGACTTCCAACTTATCAATGAATCTCCCAAGAATACACAGAAACCTGTAATAGATCTTCTAGTGTCTGTACATGATGCCCAATCTGAGTCAGAAAAAGCTTTCAACTTCAATGATCCAGAACTTGGATAAAAAAGACCTTGACCAATTGTCCCTTTAACATATTGCAGTAGCCTATGCGCAGCATGAAGGTGTGGCATTCTGGGATGAGCAGGAAATTGACTGAGTCTGTTTACAACATATGATAGATCTGGCCTAGTGATGGTTAAGTATAGCAAACGACCAATTAACCTTCTGTAAGAGACTGGATCGTCAATCAAATCTCCTTCTTCTTGAGACAGCTTAACATTGGGTTCCATTGGAGTAGGCTTTGACTTACATCTAGTAACCCTTGCATCATTTAAGATCTGCAAAGCATATCCTCTTTGACAAATGGAAATACCCTTGCATGATCGAGCAATTTCAATGCCAAGGAAATACCTTAAGTCACCAAGATCCTTCAATTTAAAATGATCATTCAAGAAACCTTTTAGATGTTGAACCTTAGTGTCATTGTTGCTAGCTACTATAATGTCATCCACATATACTAAAAGCGCAAGAAAACAGTCTCCTTGGGTTTTGACAAAAAGAGAAGAATCTGCAATAGATTGTTCAAAACCATTGGCAGTTAAAACATGAGAAAATTTTAGGAACCATTGCCTTGATGCTTGTTTAAGCCCATACAAGGACTTGTGTAACTTACAAACCATATTAGATGGAACAAGCTCCTCCTCATGGAGATAACCGGGAGGTTGAACCATGTATACTTCTTCAGCCAACTCGCCATGAAGAAAGACATTATTTATGTCTAGATGAGTAAGAGACCAGCCACGCAAAGAGGCTAACGCAAGCAGCAAACAGACAGAAGTTATCTTGGCAAATGGGGAAAAGGTGTCAAAAAAATCAACCCCTTTCTGCTGAGTAAAACCTTGTGCAACTAACCGAGCTTTATAACGCTCCAAAGTACCATCAGCATGAAGTTTGACCTTGTAGACCCATCTACAACCGATGGCCCTTTTTCCAAGAGGCAAGGGAACAAGAGACCAAGTGCCATTTGATTCTAATGCATCAATCTCCAATTGCATAGCTTGCTGCCAGGAAGGAATTTTAACAGCTTCATAAAAGGAGGAAGGTTCAGGATGTAAGGTGACTGATCCAATAAAAGCTGCATAAGGAGAGGAGAGGTGAGAAGTGGAGAGCACTGACTGAAGTGGATGCTTTGTAGAACAAACAAAGTAGTAGTAGAGATAATCCTTTAAATGGGAAGGGGCCCTAACATCCCGAGTAGATGCCCTGCGAGGTGCAGGGGACTGTGAACCTGAAGACACTTGTGTGGGCAATGCTGAATCCACAGTAGGAATAGAGGAAAAAACTTGTGTAGGTATGATCGAATCAGCAAATACATCAGTAGAATGATCAGGTAAATGTTTAAAAGGAAATTGATCCTCATGAAAAACAACATCTCTTGAAATAAACACTTTGTTGGTAGCTACATCCAGTACCTTATAGGCTTTGTAACCTGGTGGATAGCCAAGAAACACCCCTGGGAGAGCTCAAGGAGAGAACTTGTGACGGTCACGTGGTAAGGTGGCAGCATAACACAAGCAGCCAAAAGCCCGAAGGTGGGAATAAGAAGGATGTTTCCCCATCAGCACTTCAAAAGGGGATTTATTAATCAGCAATGTATATGGCAATTAGTTGATCAAGTACGCAACTGTCTGTACACAATCCGGCCCATAACCAAGAGGGACATTGGACTGAAAATGGAGAGATCGGGCCACATTAAGTAAGTGTTGATGTTTTCGCTCCACCACAGCATTTTGTTGGGGCCTATCAACACAAGAATGATGGGAAATGATACCCTTGGTCCTGAAAAATTCAGAAAAATTAAATTCTGGAGCATTGTCAGATCGAACAGCCTTGATGTTGGTATGGAACTGAGTGCCAATCATGGTACAAAACTCAGAAAAAAAATTTAACACATCCGATTTAGCTCGGAGAAAATAGACCCATGTGTACCTGCTACAATCATCAACAATTGTTAGGAAATAGCGAAAACCTTCAACAGATGTAGTTGAAAAAGGACCCCAGAAATCTAAATGAACCAAGTCAAAGGGATGAGAACTCATATTATTATTTGAAACAAAAGGCAAACGCCTTTGTTTGTACAAAGGACACACATTACAGAAGGTGTTTGAGACTAAAGACAATTGCAACAAAAGTTTGTAAAATTTGTAAACGTGAAAAAGAGGGATGACCCAAACGCATGTGCCAGATTGAAGACAAATTCGTGGATGGGGCATGTGCTGCAGGACCCGTGGTGACAGCGTGCAACACATACAAGTTGCCCTGTCGTTCAGCTGTCCCAATCTTGAGGCCCGTTGTAAGATTCTGCAAGATACATGAAGAAGACGAAAATGAAAGATTGAGTTTAAAAACAGAGGTCAAAGCACTGACTGATAAAATGTTGTATTGGAAATCTGGCACATACAACACTGAAGATAATGTTAGTTGTGGAGATATCCTAACGGATCCCAAGCGAGGCACGGAAATGGAAGTGCCATTGGGCAAATTCACAAAGAAACCGACAATCGGAGAAGAAGAAAGGAAACTATTCAGGTCGCAACTGTTAGAATATTAGATATGATATGATTAGATTTGATTAGATATGATTGGATTCTGTCTTATCCGTAAATAGTCTGACTGTATTCTGACTGTATTAGGATTAGGTTTGGATTAGGTTTGGGCCTTACACTTAAGCCCATTAGGGTCTCTATATATTGTAACTCCCTGACACAGATCAATACACAACGTATTCTTTTACATTTAACTTGGTACCAGAGCTATTTCGTTCTGGGAACCCTCGCTTCCGCTTAGAAATCTTGTTCTTCGCTTTAAAACCTAAGCCCACTGCTTAGGAGTCATCTTTTCTTAGCCGTGCGTCCTTCCGGTAAGACATCAAGGGCTGTAAGTCCTCTCCAGGCATCTTCTGCACGTGTCCACATCCCCAAACAGTCACCGGAGCACCATCAGCCACCTTCAGCCACCGTCAGCCACTGTTCAGGCTGCCGGAGTACTTTTCCGGCGAGTTTTCAGTCTGGAACGAACGCGAACAGAACCCTCTCCTCCCGGCGACCTGCTCTGTGGAAGTCCGGCCACCATCGGAGTTGTCACGCGCTCTCACGCGCCTCCAGTCTTCTCTGCGCGTGGGCTTCACGCGCCACCTTCTGCCGGCGCGTGAGCACTATTCCGGCGGCTTTTTCCGGCTGGTCTTGGACAGAGAAGCTCGTCTTCTCCTCCTCTTTCTGGATCTGTGATTGGTTCTTTGTGGGTTTGACTTTTTGTGCGCACCTCTTCTTGATTGGTGATCAGGTTCGTTTCTCTTTATTCGGTTTGTATCTTTGTGATTTGATACTATGGCAGCAAACCCTCCAATTCATTCGGAGGTCAAGTCTCCATCTCCTCCTTTGAGAAATTCTCCCAATATCATCTCTACCAATATTGGGTCCATTACCTCTTCAAAATTGAAGGGATCTGTTAATTACAAGAACTGGGCCACCTCTGTTCGAGTTTGGTTCTTTGGACAAGGATATGAGAACCATCTCACAACTAAGTCTACTGATGTCCCTAAGGAGGACAAGTCTGATTGGGAAAAGATTGACAACCAGCTTCTGAGTATCCTCTGGCAATCCATTGATCCGATTGTCTTGGATATCTTTTATTCATTTCAAACTTGCACTGAAGTGTGGGAGGAAGCAAAAAACCTCTACACTAATGATGTTCAGCAGCTCTATTTCATCATCTCTCAGTTTATGGAATTGAGCAAATCATCCGACATTCAGATGGAGACATATATTGGCAAGAGTCGCTCTTTGATGCAGGCATATTTGGATATGCTGCCTTACCCTACTGATGCTACTGCATATCGGAAACAGGTAGAACGTCTCTTTATGGTTGCCACACTTTCTGGCCTTCCCGAAGAATATGATAATGTTCGTGATACTATCTTGACTAGTGGGGAGCCTGATCTATCCATGACGTATCAGCGTCTTCTG